TTTTATGCTTAGTATGTTGATAAGTTTTATCCTGAAGAGATGTTGAGCTTTGTCAAGTGTTTTTTTGTTTTTCCCATACCTGATATAAACCCCTTGGTTACGATACAGTGTGCTTTATAGATATTCTATAGTTTTTTATATAAACATGTTGGATTTGTATCTATTGTTTGATTTGATTTGCTAATATTTTGTTAAGGGTTTTTATGTCTGTATTCATCAGAGTTGACTGTACTTTTCTTGCAATATCTGTGTTTTTCTTGTTTTGTATTAGAGTAATACTGGTCTTGTAAAATGGATTAGAAAGTGTTTATTTCTGTTTTCTGGAGGAAATTTTACATAGTTGTTACCGTTTATTCCACAGATGTTTCACAGAATTCTTTACCCAAGCCTTGTGGATGTTAAGATTTCTTTATGGGAAAGTTTGAAAGTATGACTTTACTTACTGTACTAGAAATGGAGCTTTTCAGGCTATGTATGTTTTCTTAAGTGAATTTTGATGATTTTTCTTCCAGGGAAGTTGTTTATTTCTTTGGAGATTTTGTATTTATTGGACATTAGTATAACATTTTCTGCAGTATTACTGTGTCCTTTTAATATATATGAGGTCTGTAATGAGTGTTTCCTCTTTCATTTTTGCTATTGATATTTTCTGTATTTTTTTCTTGAGCACCTTGAACAGAGATTCATCAATTTTATTTACTTTTCAAAAAAAAATTCTAAGGTTTGGTTTTATTGATTATTGTTATTGTGTTAAATTTGTAATTCTTTTTGGTTTCTACTTTTATCTTTATTATTTTCTTTCTTTTGCTTGATGTTGGTATAATTTGCCCCTGTTTGCTAGTTTCTTAGGAAGGAGACTGACTTACAGATTTGAGACTTTTCTTTTTTTTTTAAAGTAAGCATTTAATAAATTTTCCTCTTAGCACTGTATTGTATCCCACAAAATTTCATGCAGTGTTGTCATTCAATTCTAAATGGTTTCTCATTTACATTTTTTTGAGCTATGGATTAGAAGCATGCTGTTTAACTTTTAAACATTTGTAGATTTTTCAAGTTCTCTGTTGTTGATTTGTATTTTAATACTGTAGAGTTTAGGGGAAGTCATTTATATGATTTCATCCTTTTAATTTTTTCAGATATATTCTGAAAATAACTACTTGGTCCATTTACCTTACTGAATGTTCCATGTACATGCCATGTATATTCTGCTGTTATTGAATGGAATTTTAAAAAGTTTTTTTTTGTGGTGGTGGTACTGGGAATTGGACCTAGGACCTCTGCAATTGAGCTGCATATGCAGTCCTTTTTATTTTATTTTATTTTTTATTTTGAGACAGGGCCTCACTAAGTCACTAAATTGCCTGTATGGGCTCAAACTTTTGATCTTCCTGCCTCAGCTTCCCAGAATGTTGGGATTATAGGGAGGTGCTCCCACACTCAGCTGAATAGACTGTTTCATAATTTCATGAAGTTATATTGCCGTTGAGTAAATTTTGAATGATATGTTGGAATTAGCCAGAGAAGTAAAGACATGCGGATAGACACAGAATGTGACATAACAGAGCATAATCTATCCCCTTTATTTTTATTTGTGGAAAGTAGGGTCCTGAGTGATGCTACACACACTCATACCAGAGCTACAAATGCAATACTCAAGGACCAGGTTGTAGCTCAGCAGCACGGCACCTGCCTGACAAGTGCTAGGCCCTGAGTTCAATTCCCAGTACCGGAAAAAAAAAAAAAAAAAACCCACAAAACTCATTTCCTGAATAGCCTCTTGAATTTATCAGGATGTTTCCCCAGAAGTCATGAACCAAGCTGATCTTGACTTGGATTTTGATGACAGAGACACAAAGGAGTTTGGAAATAGCTTTATTCAGGGTGCAAATTTGTGGAGACCTTGTAAATATTTCTTACATGTGTCCTGTAGCGTCCTAACTTATATGTGATGGGAGACATTCTTGTGTTTAGTGTAACTGCTTAGAACTTTGTATTAATAACAACACCAACTGTGTAACCCTTCAGTGTGTCCTCTTACATGCACATAGTGATCTGGGTCTTTTGAAGATTATGTGAACTGTTCTGTCACTAATGAGCATGGGAGTGAGCATGTGAGATGTTTCTCAGGTACTCTGTTCTGGTAGTCCTTATTTTCCACCTGAACCCGCCCCTCTCTCTGTGTCCCTCTCCCTCCTTCTCCTCCCTCTCCCCTTTCCCCTCTCTCAGGCTGAATTTGAATTTGTGATCCTCTTACTTGGGCTCCTTGAGTAGCTGGGATTGCAGGTGTGTGCCACTGTGTCCAGCAGGAACCCTCTCTGTAATCTTCCATGGCAGAAACAGTTTCTTTAAAAGCCATAGTTCTTTTTGGATGAAGTAATGAAACCTATTTGTCTGTTTTAGTTTGGCACTTCATATTATTTTATTTTATTTTATTTTATTTATTTATTTATTTATTTTTAATAAACATACATCCATTTATGAAATAGGATAGGAACATTACAAACTTTACACAGTTATGGATAGATTAGTAGGAAAATATCAATGGCTG